TCAGGACTCTGCCATTCATGGCAGTGTCTCATGGAACTCATGATCCAACCAAGAAGTGGCTCATGTAATTGTGGAGGCTGGCAAGTCTGTAGGATTCTCCTCAACTTGACTGCTGAGACAACAGACCATTGACTCATACGAATCAGATCAGGAGATAGGTTACCGGCTAGGTCCCAAGGATTGGAAATTGAGGTGGAGGCAAGCCAGACAGAGGATCTGGAGCCAAGAGAGGGAACTTTGCCAGCGTGCACTCAGCACAGCTACAAAGATGAAAACAGTTGAAAATAAAAGAACCTCTCACTTGGTTGGCCAAGCCAAGGAGTCCACTGGAGCTCACGTGTTACCAAGATGGCTCCCTGGGTGTTTGGCCTGCTGTCTTTTAGGGTGGTAGCTGGTCTCTGCTTCATGTTTATCAGGTTGATTCCACATAAGACCTAGTCCTCAGCCAGGAAGCAGGAACATTACAAAGATGACAGCTTACCCACATGTGGGGCGTTGGCCGAGGTGTATTTTGAGTTGTGGGATGCCAGGTCAGATAGGATACATTGATCTTTACTTCAATCAGCTAGTTCTAGCCTCTCTTTTGTTTATACAGCACATATACAAACCCAGATTTTGAGCACCACAGATGCATGTCACTATGTGCATATAATGTAGCTTCCAGGTTTTTGGGTGGTGGTGGTTATAGCCACTTTATTCCTAGTGTCATCTTTAGGCCAAGGCTGTTTGTCCTAATCAAGGACAGTGTGACCAAGGGCATTTTCTTTCCTGGCCCCTCCCCTCCTGCTCAGAAATGTCCCCACTTTTATTGTAAAGTTGGTTATATTCTTTTTAAGAAATGAGATTTCCCACCAGAAGCAGGAAATCCTAACCTAACCACAGAATGAGTCAGGCCCTATCCCCGATTCCAGCCACCTCAAAGAAAGAAGTCTGTTGGGGGGTGTAGTTCCCTAATTTGCAGGGTTAGAGGTTCTTAAAAATGACACTGAAGCTGCAGATTCGGAAATTTGTTGGGAGCCCTGGCTTCAGCTTAGTAACTTGGCTAAGTCTTCCTCTGTCAAATGAGGAGTCACAAAGAGTTATTGTAGGACTTGAATAACGGGGAGGGGAAAGTACCGTATATACTGGTGTATAAGCCGAGTTCTTCAGCACTTTTTTTTTTTAAGCAACAAAAACCCGTTTTATTTTTTCCCAAATGTAGAAGTTTGCATGTTTTGCAAATATTGCTTCAGAGCAACATTTCTATATACAGTGCCTTCTGTTCTGACAACACGTAAACATAGGTCTGTATCCACAGTGCATTAGTGGCTCACCCAAGACCCACCTTGCATACACTCAGCACTCAACGTGATTAGTCAAACCAGAACTGTCTGTATCAAGGCAAATTTTGTAGGTGGATAGTTTTTCTTAAAACACAAAACTTAGGTAATAATGCTCATGTTTCTAAATGGTAACAGTAATGTTTGTAAAGAACACTTTCTAGTGCTCCAACTTGGGGTTAATTCATCTTGACCTAGGAATTGGGGATAGCCCCTCAACATGGCTTTAAAATAGGGAAGTACAGGAGTCAGAACTTCTTGTGGGGTCCTTCCTGCTTCCCTAAGGACAAAAGTCATAATGGATAAAATGCGCCATCCCCCCAGCACATTTTTTATGCAGTTTTTGTAAAATTTGGTGCCTCGGCTGATATTCAGGTTGGCTTATACTCAGTATATACAGTATGTGAAAGGAACGGTGGGGGGTTCGTGGTGACTTATGTAGGGAACATAAAAGAGCACTTTTAAAATAAAAGAGCCCATCTGGTGGTAGTGGGTTATGCTTTGGACTGCTAATCACAAGGTTAACAGTTTGAAACCACCAGCTGCTCCACAGGAGAAAGAGGAGGCAGTCTGCTCCCAGAAAGATTTCTTTCAAAACTCGCCATCGAGTTGGTTCTGGCTTGGTGACCCTCCAGGGCAGATTAGAAGCTCCTACCGCTTTCCAAGGCTGTGAGTCTTAACAGCACGTAACCCCACTGCACCAGCTAGTGCTCCTGCCACAAACATTTACAGCTTAGGAAATGCCCTCTCGGGTAATTAAGCATTTGGTTTGGTTTGGGTGTGGGCTTGTAAATTGTTACTTCTTTAGGATAAAAAAGTAGGATTTGAAGCAGCTGGCAAGGATGGGTGGGAGGCACCATTGGGACAGTAAGTGCTTCTAAATGCCTTTTTTTTTTTTTAAATGCCTTTCATTTCAGTAAGTCTATATGATTCTGGTTTTCTGATCTACCCTGGTATTAATGGAAAATTTGCATCCTGGGCCTCTTTCGTACTCTGAGATTACCTTGTGTATGATAAAATAAACCCGGCATGGTGAAGGGAAGGTGAGGGAGAAGGGGAACAGGTTACAAGGATCTACATATAACTTCCTCCCTGGGGGACAGACAGTGGAGAAGTGGGCGAAGGGACATGTCAGAAGGAGTAAGATATGACAAAATGATAATTTATAAATTATCAAGGATTCATGGGGGGTGGTGCAAGGAGGGAGGGGAAAAATGAGGAGCTGATACCAAGGGCTCAAGTAGAAGGCAAATGTTTTCGAGAATGATGAGGGAAACATACAAAAGTGCTTGACACAATGGATGTATGTGTGGATTGTGATAAGAGTTGTACAAGCCCCCAATAAAATGATTTAATTATTAAAAAATAAATTAAATAAACCAAGAACTCACTGCTATTAAGTCAATTCCAATTTATAGCAACCCTGTAGGATAGAGGAGAACTGCTCCTGTGGATTTCCAAGGCTGTAAATCTTTTTTTTTTTTAATCATTTTATTAGGGGCTCATACAACTCTTATCACATTCCATACACACATCAATTGTGTAAAGCGCATTTGTACATTCATTGCCCTCATCATTCTCAAAACATTTCCTCTCCACTTAAGCCCTCATATTAGGTCCTCATTTTCCCCCTCCCTCCCCGCTCCCCCCTCCCTCATGAGCCCTTGATAATTTATAAATTGTTATTTTGTCATATCTTGGCCTGTCTGACGTCTCCCTTCACCCACTTTTCGGTTGTCTGTCCCCCAGGGAGGAGGTCACATATAGTTCCTTGTAATCGGTTCCCTCTTTCCTACCCACTCTCCCTCTACCCTCCCTGTTTTGCCACTCACATCACTGGTCCTGAAGGGATCATCCGCCCTGGATTCCCTGGATTTTCAGTTCCTATCTGTACCAGTGTACCTCCTCTGGTCTAGCCAGACTTGCAAGGTAGAATTCGTGTCATGATAGTGGGAGCGGGGAGGAAACATTTAGGAACTAGAGGAAAGTTGTATTTTTCATCGTTGCTACATCGCACCCTGACTGGCTCATCTCCTCCCCGAGACCCCTCTGCAAGGGGATCTCCAGTGGCCAACGCTGTAAATCTTTATGGGAGCAAAGAAACCAGCCTCCAACAACCAAAGAGCCAGTAGGTGCAAGAGTGTAGTAAAGTCATAGAGGCTAGGAAAGCTAGGAGAGACAATACAATAAACAAGTTGGACACATTTTATGGTAGCATGCTCACCTCAGCTCCTCTTGATGGACCACCTTTACTGTCTTGGGACTTACAGGTACCCATAAGACATGCATATTCAGTAGTTACTTGCATCATAAGGTGGGTGGGATCTACATTAAGGTCCCTGAGCTCAAAGGGGAGGAAACCTAATACCTGCAATGGGGCGGGTGGGGGGGCAGGTACAAGGGGGTTGGGTGACACAGCAGGAAGAGAGAAAAGGATGTCTGCTTCTAGGGAGATATAATCAACCATGTGCTCACTTTAAGACAGCATAGCTGTTATGGGGAGAATCTGTGGGAATGATATTTAAAGCAGGATAATGTACTTGAATTTTACCTCTAACTTACAAAGTGGAGGCTTTCCTACTGTGGAATACTAGCTTTAAAGATTCCCTCTGTTATAAGTTAGGGAATATAGCCCTCATCATATTTCCCTTGGGGTTAGTTTCCCACAGAGAGCTTCATTCTCCTATGGAGTGCCTACTGGATTCTAATGACCAGCCTGAGCAGCCCAACATGTAAGCCAGTACACCAAGTATATAGAATTTTAGCATGTAAGCCAGTACACCAAAATATATAGACTACTACTCCCTATTTTAACAGTTGTACAAAATACAGTGGTATCACCTGCTAAAATCTTGAGTGAGAAAAGTAATGGACCTGTAAGAAAACAATAATATAATTTTGTAAAAAATCATTTTATTGGGGGCTATTACAGCTCTTACCACAATCCATACATACATCCATTGTGTCAAGCACATAACAATAATATAATTTATACAAGGAATACAGCTGCATCAGGATACTAACAATGCTGCCTTTGGGAAACCTTGTTGACTCACTAATTGATTGCCTGTACAGTATTTCTTCTAATGTAAGTTTTTTAAATGATGAAAATAATCTGGCTGGAAAATTGGGGAAATGAGAAAATAGAAAAGAGGTTACACCAAGCTACCACTTGATATCTTTGTCTTTTCATCTTATCTCTGCATATATTAACTCATTTTAATCATAGCAAGTTTATAGTTTTATATTTATTATTGTACCTTAACATGTCATGAGCACTTTTTTTGTCCCATTGTCTTCATAACCATATTTTAAAGTAAATGACCATAATTAACCAGTTCCTAATTATTCACTCTACATATTGCTTCCAGTTGTTTTATTATCTCAGATGATAAGATGGGCATCTTTGGGCACATAGCTTTTTCAAGACCTTCCAGACCATTTTTAAAGGAGTTTTTAAAGAATGAATTATTTTTAGATATTCTGGGTCAAAGCATAACATTTTTATGGGTTTTGATACCTCTTGGGCTTCTGTTTAAAACAAATACTCTGGGATTAACTCTTCACTTGCTTGATTATTTTCATACTTGGATATACCTATGAAGAAGTTTTTCTTTGCCTTTTGAGCTGTTTTCCACCCTTCTTATTTCTCTTCCTCCCCTCTTCCCCTGCCCATTTTAGGCTAAATTGATATACCACCTAGCACAGCATCTCACTGGATGAACATAGCATTTCCTAAAGAAATATGAGCCTAACAGGAAGGTGTTATTGACTCTGCATTAAATTTCAACTTGTCCCCTGAACAGCCTCAGGATTTGGAAGCTGAATCAATGTTATCAGATGAGTTAGAATCCAAACCAGAGGTGAGCCCAGTTAGCTTGTTTCTTTTTTTTGTGTGTGTGTGTGGGCTGTTTTCCAAAGTTCTTCTGGGGTCAGCAAACCTTTTCTGTAATAAGTCAGATCGTAAATATTTTAGGCTCTGTGGGCCATACGGTGTTGGTAGTACATACTCATGTCTGCTGTTGTAATGAGAAAGCAGCCATAGACCCCACTTAAATGTATGCGTGTGATGCTATTCCAATAAAAAAGCTTTTTGACAACCCAGATGGTGAACTAGATTTGGCCCTTGGGCTATTGTTTTCTAATTCTGGTATTAGTTTATTGTTTTTTTGATTCCTAAGTACCTTCTCAAAGATTTTTAAACATCGACTTTTACCTTTTATGACTTTTTATATTTGATATTTAACTAAGTATAAAATTATTATATATCCAGGTAATTATAAAATGACAAAATCTTACTTTTATGTGATTGGGGCTTCAAAAAATTAGTGGAAAAATTCCATTATCCTACACTTGATCTTAGCCAAAAGGCCAAGAAACTATTCCATATCCTTTAATGTCATTTTATCACGAATTTTTGGAAGCCCCTCATTTATGGTGTGTGTGTGGGTTCATTTTTCTTACTTGAATGTTAGCATATCTCTGCCCACTAGAGAGGTCCTTGAATTTAGAAGTAGATTACTTAGTTGGAAGACTCCCATTGATACTATGCAGTCATGGAACTTTTAAAATAAGTACTGTAGTGCCTTTACCTTTACTCATCACCTGTCAAATACCTGCTGAGTACTGAGTTGCAAGGAGGATTATGGGAGTCAGGTTATAGAAAGTGCTCTTTAAAATATAGTCAACACAATACAATTTTACCATTTCTCTGTTTGGAAGGTGACAGCGTTTAATGCATCTTTATAACTTGATAAGTAGTATAATATTATATTGTAATTACTCTAGTTTTTCTATGAATAAGGCCTAGAATAGTGAACTATCAGGACTTAAATGACTATATTTTGACATCGTGTCTGACTTGTTTTACTTAACAACTTTATCATTTCCATGTGCACTCTGTGAGGGTGTGTTATTTGCAGGGGTGCGATACTTGCAACAACAACAAAAATCTGACATATCGTTATCATTTGGTAAATTCAGAAGTTTAGATCCACACCCAACAGCCTTTATTTTTTATTGTTGCCCTTTTTTTCGCTGCTTCCAGCTCCTGGTACAGTTTGTTCAGAATACCTCTATCCCACTGGGACAAGGGCTAGTGGAATCAGAAGCTAAAGACATTACTTGCTTGTCCCTCCTTCCAGTGACTGAGGCTTCAGAATGCAGCCGGCTAATGTTACCAGGTAAACATTGAGATTCCAGAGATGGGTAAAGGACAAGAACTGATTTTATAACTGTCTGGTGGAAATTGTAGAAATTGGTAGTTGTGCAGGGAAAGCAACCAAAGGAGTCGTAATGCATGAGTAGCTGAAGCCATGGGAATGTGTGTGATCACCCACACAGCAGAAAGGGGGGCCAAGGGCAGAATGCTGTGGAACGCCCTGTTAAAGGTTGAGGCCAGAGAACCAGTGAAGAAAGGCAGAGGAAAAGCTGTAGAGTATTAAGAGGAAGCATGAACGCTTCCGAAAAGACATACCAAACTCACTGCCATTGAGTTGATTCCAAATCACGGCGACTCTATAAACAGGGTAGATAAAACTGTCCATGTGGATTTCCAAGACTGTAACTCTTCACACGAGTTAAAAACCTAATCTTTCTCCCTTGGAGCGGCTGGTGTTTTTGAACCTGCTGACCTTGTGGTTCACAGCCCAACTTGTAACCAATATGCCACCCAGCGACTATTGACCTTGACAGGAACTGTTCCATTGAGCGAAGGGGTGGAAAACCAGAATATAGTGGATTAAGGTATGTACAACATAGTCTACTTAGTGTAAGTATAGTTGAAGTAACTAGCTATACTTCCTAAAGACTGTCCGGTGACAGGAAGGAAAAAGAAGGATGTAAAAAATATAAGTATATGTTTTAGATGAGAGCTATTTTAGGGTTATTTCGTGCTAAGAGGAAGGCGTTGGTTAGAGAAACTGCAGACAGGAAGAGATAGTGAATAACTGATGGGAAGGTTCCAGGAGAGGTGAGCAGAAATGGGTAATGAGATTAGCTCTAATGGGAAGAAGATCGCTACCATTTGAGTTGCCACTGGAAAGAGAGTTCAGGATTTTGTGGGAAGTTGTAAAGGCAGGAGATAGATATATGAGGGGGCTGCAAAAAGTTTGTATAACTCCCATTTTCTCCTCATTTCATTTTTCATGAACTTTTTGAAGCCCGCTTATATTCCTTTCCCTCAAAGGGTCTTAATAATAATGAGGAGTTTTTCCTGCTTTTGAAGACTTTGAAATGGAACTGTAAAATTTTAATTAGCATTCTGATGAGACACTCATCTTTTGAATCTTTCTAACTGAAACTCCTGATAATAGGTCTGGCCTTGTGGAAACAGAAGAGCTAGTAATTGGGAGACCTATTGTACAGGGACTATTAGCAAGATGAACATGGTTTTTGGTGCTATAAATTCTTTTGACCCTGATTTTTGGTTTGGGAATATTAATGTTAAATCAGAGCAGGGTCAGTAACTTGTTGATGACCATTTATTTGTTATAAATTCTTCTGGTTACCATCCTCTAATGATGTTCTTAACAATTAAAAAAATTATTCACAGTTTTTAATTATAAATCAGGTGAGGGTTAGCGTTTCAGATCATCCATTCTGTATTCAACAGTTTCAACTTCTCATCAAACTCTAGTTTTCACCCTTCACCTGCTTCTTGGTTTGTCTTCTCCCTCTGTTTCAGATTTGAAAGACTCAAGAAGGATGAATATGTTCGAACAAACCATGTTCATTTTAAAGATTTCCTATCCTCGCTCTTAGCTCTCCCTGTCTTGGAGCCTCTTCTATTTCCCAGCGCCTATTTTTCTTTTTTAAACATTTTATTAGGGGCTCATACAACTGTTATTGCAATCCATACACATATCAATTGTGTAAAGCGCATTTGTACTTCATTCTCAAAACATTTTCTCTCCACTTAAACCCCCGACATTAGGTCCTCATTTTTCCCCTCCCTCCCCACTACCCCCTCCCTCATGAGCCCTTGATAGTTTATAAATTGGTATTTTGTCATATCTTGCCCTGTCCGATGTCTCCCTTCACCCACTTTTCGGTTGTCTGTCCCCCAGGGAGGAGGTCACATATAGTTCCTTGTAATCGGTTCCCTCTTTCCTACCCACTCTCCCTTTACCCTCCCTGTTTTGCCACTCACACCACTGGTCCTGTAGGGCTCATCTGCCCTGGATTCCCTGTATTTTCAGTTCCTATCTGTACCAGTGTACCTCCTCTGGTCTAGCTAGACTTGCAAGGTCGAATTCGAGTCATGGTAGTGGGAGCGGGGAGGAAACATTTAGGAATTAGAGGAACGTTGTATTTCTCGTCGTTGTTACATCGCACCCTGACTGGCTCATCTCCTCCCCGAGACCCTTCTCCCAGCGCCTATTTTTCTACTCATATATTGGGAGTCATATTTTCCAAATCCTTCTAGATTTTCAACATGGGATGATTTTCAAGTCCTAATAAATGTTGGTATTTATTAAGTATTGACATGGCAGAATTATTGTTAGGCTTTCATCTTCTCCCTTAAAATGGGGTTCTTGAGAGCAAGTCTAATAAAATTTTTTTTTTTAATAATTTTTATTGGGGGCTCTTACACCTCTTATAACATTCCATAATGAGTTGTTTCTTTATATCTAGTGTTAACTTGGGGCTGAAGTGAAGCATATTAGTAGTTCTGTAAGATTTCCAGCCTGTATTTTTTTTTCCTGTAGTGACTTAGAACAATCACATGAGTCTAATAAAAAGCAAAAGGGAGGGGAGCGGGAAGTAAGAGGGATGATCCATCCCCCTAATGAAAATAATTTAAATTTTAAGTCAATATTGAAGGCACAGATGTTATTTGTGCATTTGGCTTTTGGCCTCAAAAAGGACAGTTCTGTAATTACTGTAAAGCCACATGCTGAACATGCCTGGCTATTAGTTACTGCCAAGTGTCACTTATTCCATCTTGCCTGACGCCATCTCTGAAGTTCTTGTGTGAGGCACTTCATAAGATGAAAATACTTCCTGCTCCTGAAAGGTGTTGAGACTAGGAATAGCTACGGTGAGGGCATTTGAGACTATAAATAAATCAAAGTGGCAAGCTTCTTGGTGCTAAGTGCTACCTAAAGCCGTGCTGTTTCCTTTTCTAGATGATACTTCAAATCATACTAACTCTTCCAAAGAGGTCCCTTCCTCAGCTGTGTTGAGAAGCCTTCAGGTGAATGTGGGCCCAGACGGAGAGGAGACCAGGGCTCAGACTGTACAGAAGTCCCCGGAGTTTTTGTCGACTCAGGAGTCTCCTAACTTGTTGCAAGATCTACAGCCAAGCGATAGCACCTCTTTTATTCTACTTAACCTCACCAGAGCAGGTATTCTCTTCCCTTTCTTGAACTCTGGCCATGCTTAAGAAAAACTTGGGGGAGTATGGATGTGCTATATTGCACCGAGTCGCACAATGGAAAGAAGCTTCAGTATTTTATTATTTTGGAGGATTTGTAAAGCCTGGTGTCCAATTAGAGTGAGAGGACTCTCAACTCAATACCATCAACTCGATTCCAACGCATAGCGACCCTCAGGACAGACTAGAAGTGCCCCGGTGAGTTTGCAGGATGTAAATCTTGACGAGAGTAGAAAGCCTCAACTCTCTCCTCCAGAGCCTTGGGTGGTTTCTAGCTGCTGCTGTGCAGTTAGCAGCCTAACGTGTGACCGGCCACGCTGTCAGGGCTCCTGAAAGGACTGTGGGAGGAGGACTCACAAGGTTCTCAGGCCCTGAGTTGGAAGGATGGTGGTGAGCTCAGGAGGAGCAGCGCATGAAGGAGGAACATTCATTTTCTTTTGTGCCTGCTGATGTTGAGATTTCTGAAGGCAACTTGGGAGGAGTTGGCCTTTACAGAGTTAGAAGCAGGATCCAGAGTTGTGGAGAGAAGTCTGGTGTGAAGTAAGTGGGTTTGTGCTAATTGGTATTTAAGAATTATCTGAAACCTGAGTGTGGATTCATTCACTCAGGAAGTCTGGAGCATCCATAGAAATGAAAGCAAGGTGGCCAGGAGGAACATTAGAACTGATTCTGATGATGTATATATATAACTCTTTTTAAAAGTGATTTAACTGGGGAAGTGTATGATATGTGAATATTATATCAGAAAAGTTATTAGACTAAAAAGCAAACTTGACCAGTAGTTACCAAGGGTGACGGAGGAAGAGTTTTGTGGAGGGGCATGGAGTTTATGCTAATGGTGGTGGAATAATTTGGAAAGGGATAGCAATGATGGCTGTATAACATGAAGAGTATGATCAATGGCAGTAAATCACATGTGAAATTGTTGAATTGGGCGAGCAACACTGGGACCCTAGAATAGAACTTCCCAGAGGGGAACAGAAGAATGGGAAGGAGCAGAACTGGAGACCGGGGAGGAGATACCGAAGAGAAACCAAGGAAGGAAAGATATCTGAGGAAGAAAAGTATTAAACTACAGGATAAGATTGTGCTCAATGACCTTAGCAAGAACACTTGTTACTGGGATAGTAGAGGTGGAAGATGGGATTAAAGAGAATAAAGGGGAATGAATAGATGAGAAGTTGGGTATAAAATGTGAGGGTACATTTGTTCAAGAAACTTGACCTTGACGTGGACAGGTGAGAAGGTGTATATAGAAATACTCAGTGTTTGTATTCCCTTGAAAAGTAAAGTGGGAGAGAGTCAAGCTCTACAGACTGAAAGGCTACACGAGAAGGCTGGCCAGAGAGAGGAGCAGGTTACAGCTGGGAGAAGGGAGACACAGGAATGTGAAGGCTACAGGAGAGATCCTTAGAAGATGAGATTGAGATACCAAAGCCAGGTGGCTGGGAAGGAAAGTCTTGCCTGAGAAACAGGAGGGGGCAAGGTAGAGACTCGCCTGCATGCTGATGCTGACCGTTCTCTCTGAGACTAGAAGCCTGAGAGATGGGGAATGACTGATTCAGGATTTGGAATGTTCCTGAGCCAGGGCAGATAAAAGGATTGCTTGATGTCTAACTTTCATTTGTCCTTGTTTTCCTTCAGGTCTGGGCTCTTCAGCTGAGCACTTAGTATTTGTACAAGATGAGGCAGAGGATTCAGGAAATGATTTCCTCTCCAGTGAAAGCTCAGACAGCAGCATTCCATGGTTCCTCCGGGTTCAAGAGTTGGCCCATGACAGTTTGATAGCTGCCACTCGTGCACAGCTCGCGAAGAGTGCAAAAACCAACAGCAATGGTGAGACAGATCCCGGCGATGTCTTCATTGTCTCTGCAGCTGTAACAGAAATACCACAGGCAGATGGCGTTGACAAACACGCGTGCATTCTCTCAGAGTTCAGGTGGCTAGAAGTTGAATTCAGGGCACCAGATTAGGGAAGGCTTGCTTTCTTTTTGGTGCTGAGGGAAGGTCTTTGTTTCTTTTGAACATCTGGGCCCAGCATTCCTTAGAGATCTCTTTGTGTCCGGCATCCACCTTCCCGTGTCCGGGTTGTTCTCAGCACAAAGACCCGAAGTCCAAAGATGCACTCTGCTTCTTTCTCTTATTTCCTGGTGTGAGTAGGCCCTACCATCTCTGCTGGCTTCTCTCACTTTTTCTGATTTGTAAGATAAAAGATAATGAGGCCCACACCTCAGGGAAACTGACATGAGTAAGGGACGTGACTTTAGAAAGAATCATGGATTCCACCACTAATATAACAGTCATAACCTAGTCCTGCCCCTCTGTTAGAGGCAAAGGTGGTAACCCAAACCCACTGCCATCGAGTCGGTTCTGACTCATTGTGACTATATAGGGTTCCTGAAGCTATAAATCTTGATGGGAGGGTGTGGCTGGTGGATTTGAACCACAGACCTTGTTGCTAACAGTTCAACGCTTACTGGACAATGCCCCCAGGGCACCCTTTAGGCAAAGGTTAGGCATACAAACACCACAAAACAGGAGGGTTGCATCTATGGCTACTGTAGTGAGTGAGTTGAATAGTTTTAACAGTGACCATATATCTCTCAAAGCCAAAGCTATCTGACCCTACAGAAAAAAAATGGTTAACCTTTGCTCTAGCCGATGCCCTCTTCCATACATTTTATCCCAAGAGCAAATTACTCATTCATCTAACAGTAGACTGTTGGTGTTTTCCATGGTAGACAACACCTGTTATTAAAAGGTGTTGCATTTCTTTTTCTTTTCCATCTCTTAGTCTCTTTTTAACCAGTTCTATCTGTGTGAGCACAGACAGGTAGCATTCCGTGGCTCCTTGGGTTCAGGAGTTGGGCCACGACCAACTATGAATATGCGAATTATTAGTTGAGGTCATTTTAAGCTAATCTAACGTCCTTCAACAATGCTTTGTTTTTAAAAAAACACTGTAACTGAGGGAGCATTCCTTTGAGTGAGTGATTTCATAAGGACTCAAATAAAAGACAACTCGTTGTTTTCAGAGATTGTTTGTTTCTGAGGGGGAAAATCAACTTTATTAGTTGAGCATATGCGGGTAATCCCAGATGTTGAAGAGAAGGGATTTCACTGATGTCTCCTTCCCTGATATTATGCTTTCAGTCTCCTTCTTTTATGATCACATTAGGTTTTCATTGCCGTATAAAATTAAAAATGGGCACAAAGGCCCATTTTAAATCTCTATGTGACTTGTATTAGAAATTAATTAGCGCTCTGGGGATGTTGAGAAAATTTCTTTATAGTATTAACTCTTTTGTGCTGTTGAAATGTAACCATGTTTTGCTAATACATTTTCAATTGAACAAGTTTGGGTTTTTGTTTTTTAAATCACATGTTGGATAGTATTTGAAAATGAAATAATATTAACCAGCCAAAGGCATCCTAAGATTTGCTCTGAGCTTGGAGCAATTATCTTAATGACTAACATTTGATGAAGTGCGTGCAGCAAGGAAACCCAACCAGGGCTTTCAGTGAATTAATTTAGGTTCGACCCTCTGCTGAGAATTTGCCTTTCCATCCCAGATATGCTGACTCAGAATGTATACTTAACAGGATCCTCCCGTGAGTCAATGAACCAGTCTCTTAGAAAATCACCTCAAGCTGTTGTTAAATTGTAGTTTCCAGTTTAGTGACCTGGAGTGAAAGGCAAGTTTTCAGCAGGGGGTGGAATCCGAATGAACCAGTTGGAAGCCCGCCCAGTCGAGCCTGGGAAGCAAGAGAAGAGTAATAAGATGAGACAAACTGTCTTTGGTCAACTGTCAAGCTCCAGAAAAAGTAATAGGTGCAGCAGATACCTGCACTTGGTTTAGGGAAATATGAATCTTGCTCCATAAAGTTACCGAGCTGAGTGTCTCTGAATGTGTTTCTCTTCATTGATGTCCAATTGTGTCTTGAAGAAAATGGAAGAAAAGGAACATCGATGCCAATCTGAAATTCATGTCAAGTTTTAATGACCTGATTTCACCACCTCTAGTAGCTAGAGCTCACTGTTCCTCCATTGATTCTTGGAACAAAATTCCAGCAGATATTATCTTTGAACTTCTTTTTAAAATGTGATTAGAAACTTAAAAAAATCAAGAAGGTATATCTCGTTCCCCAGAGTGACTTCACGTGGTAGAAATCCAAGCAGGGCCACCTGCTTGAGAAATCTCTTGCGTTACGCCCACAACGAAGCCAAAGTGGCTGTTCCTCAAATTATAGCTCATCATGTTATGAACCAGGGCTTTAAGTCACCTACAGCACCCTGTCCTGGCTATTGATGCACCTACTTTCCTACCAGCTTGCAGTTTAAAACAGGTAGAATTCTGCTTTCTGGAACTTCTGATATAGAATCATTCTAGACATTTCTTACATCATAAAAGAGAGAGCTAGTATGAAAATAGCTTTTGGTAATATTCTGAAAAGAGGGCAGAGCTAAAAAACACTCTAGTTTCTCATGTTAACTGGATACCACCTGATGAATGATCTCAGGGGTAAAGTATGTGGGCTGGATTACAACTAGGTGAATGTCTTACAGGGGAAATTGTCCACCTTGGTTCTGGTGAAGGGCAACCCAAAGACTCGGGGCCCCTCCCTCCAGTGGAGAAGAAGCTCAAGTGCACAGTGGAAGGCTGTGACCGGACCTTTGTGTGGCCAGCTCACTTCAAGTACCACCTCAAAACTCACCGGTGAGCAAATCTGAGAGCCCGTCCCTGGAGCTCACGAGCCTTGATTCCTCCCAAGGAACTTCTCCCCCAATTGACAGGTTAACGGAAAGTAGGGCTTCCGGATTACTTCTGGTTAAGAATGTCTTTTGTTCTTTAACAGAAAGGTTTGAGCTGTCCAATTTACCTCGTTCTTGACCAGTATTTAATAAATGCCTTCGAGCGAAAGGTTTCAATCTCACCGTAAAGCATAGTCTCTTGAAAAACTTAATACATAAGCTTGGGCCCCGCACTAAACCGATGAAATTAGTATTTCAAGGTATGGGGCCTAGGTATCTGTAGCTTTAACAAACTCTTCAGGAGATTTTCATCCAGGCCTTGGATTTATTGTCAGCCTGGAGATGCCTCTCAAGTGAAGAATGTTTTCAAGTATGGTTGCTATGTGATTATTTTTGCAGAAATGACCGCTCCTTCATCTGCCCTGCAGAAGGTTGTGGGAAAAGCTTCTATGTGCTACAGAGGCTGAAGGTGCACATGAGGACCCACAATGGGGAGAAGCCCTTTATGTGCCCTGAGGCCAGCTGTGGTAAGCAGTTTACTACAGCTGGAAACCTGAAGAACCACCTACGCATCCACACAGGTGTGTGCAACCCCAACAGGCCTGCCTTAGGAAAGGCTGTAGGGTGGGGAGAGAAACAAAGGTCTGCATCCCCCTTCCCCACCTGCACCTTACCCCGTGTAGTACCCAGGGCAGGTTTGGCTCGGTGTGGTGTATATGACTCCAAAAATGTTACTGCCCAAAGCAACGTCTGTGTAAAGCTCAGAGCTATCTGCCTCATCATAACACTGTTAGCCGAGAGGGTCTTATAAACCTTACTGTGCTTTAGGCTCCTGGAGGCAGACACCTAAGTGTAACATAGGAGATCTTTGAGATCTTGCTAGGCAGCCCAGCTGAAATGATAGAGCATGAATTTAAGCAGTTGGAGGAAGTCACTGAACTAGTGTAAGATCAACAGGGAAAGAAAGCAATAGTCAACAGAGCCTGAATCCTTCTTTTCTTATTCCCTGTCTACAGGAGAGAAACCGTTCCTCTGTGAAGCCCAAGGGTGTGGCCGTTCCTTTGCTGAGTACTCTAGTCTCCGCAAACATCTGGTGGTTCACTCAGGTATTAGAACCTGTACCATTTGTAGGAAGGGGTGGGGAAGAAGTCATAAATAGTAAACTTTGCTGATGGGATACAAGACCAGACTATTCAGGATAGTCTGCTCCTATGAAGTCCTGTATTTAAAAACAAAACCAAAGCCTGCATTACTTTCAGCCTTACAGACTCATTGACGAAGGCTATTGTCAATGAAAACCCGAGTACGCTGGTGACCCATGTGCAGTTTGTTACAAACTCAAACTGAAATGGTTCACCATACAGATAGATAAAGCCCCTTCACCATCTTGCCAGGATCAGAAATCCAAGGCTTTCATCCAGAAGGAAAATGTAATTGCCATTGTTTATGGCTGAGTCACTGAAGGGCTTTCGAATGCAGACCTTTTCCTGTGGGGATCAGCAGATTTGTTTGGCACTGTGCCGGGTGCAGGCACCCTGGTGGTGTGGTGGTTGAAGCACTCAACTGCTAGTCAAAAGGTTGGCAGCTTGAACTCACTGGCCTCTCCAAGGGAGAAAGATGTGGCAGTCTTGAGACTTGGTGGGACAGTTCTGTGCTGTCCCAGAGGGTCACTGTGAGTTGGAATTGACTCAACAACTTCAGGGTTTGGGGGGGTTATGTGGGGAGAATTTATAAGATAAATCAAATATAGATCATGCCTTTTGGGAATTGATATACCCATTCCTCTGGGAAGTATTTCAAATCAGGAGAAAGTGTGACTGGTGTCAGCGGTCGCAATATTGCTGTTGTGCAAGCTGAGCAAGAGTGAGTCCCCATTTCCTATTTTGCACAGACAGACCTTGTCATTCCCAGCAGCACAAGAAGAGAGAGGAGTCAGAATCGGTGACACATGTTGGTTTGGAGCCTCCATCAGTCCCCCACGGTCCTCTCAGTTGGCTCATTTTATGCAGATGGGCTGGCCTTCTCTGCTAAAGATGGCTTTCAAAATACTGTGAAAACATTCTATAGCAGCTCTCTTATCTCCCTTTCTATTTAATGTCCTCCCTAACAGGTTAGGTGCCACCCAGCAAGAAACGTGCGTCTTGTCAGAGGGAGCGTTTCTTAGGGGATTGGGGGAGTTACGTGGACAGCAAGGCTGGAGAGGACCTTTTAGAAAGGCATAGAATGCCAAGAGGACTTCCAGGGACCCCCAAAGACTAAGCTACTCATCGTTTGAGCCAGTAGCTTTCGATTGCAATACTGACGGAAAGGTTGGGGGTTGGGGACAGGCAGTGCTGGCTTTGTCAATACATGCACTTAAATCAGTAAATTATTTAAGATATACATAGTATTTTTAAAACAAACCCACACAATGGCGCCTCAGAAGGTCTGCTCCTGAAAAGTCCCAGCCATGGAACCCCCACAGAGCCGTTTACAAAGGGAGGGATCCAGTTGGAGCACATGTCTCCTGCAGATGAGGCCACCGTGAGTTGGAATGGACTTGATGGTATCTGACTGGGGTTGTTTGGAAGGGCATGCCAGAGAGTTTGGGAAGGCCACTGCAGAAAACTCTGCTGGGAAAGCTGCAAAAATGACATGGAAAGTCGAGGAGACAGTGCGGTCTAGGGTGGGGGCAGGGAGCATAGAAAGAGAATCACTGGAGAAATCGACTGGACGTCACAGCTGTCTGTAATGGCCATGAGGAAATCGGAGCACCAGTGAAGGCCGTGGGTGCCAGAAGATGAGGGCAAGTTGGCTTTCACAGTTGTCAGCATGGCTCTCTGACGTCTGAGGAGAGGTTAGAAAGCTGCGCCAAGAGGAGCCTGCAGACTAGCCCAGAGTTCCTGGAGGGCAGGAACATGGAGCAGATCCTCATGTAGTTAAAATGTGGAGATACTATGAAATCACATGGGACTTTTGTTACATGTGGATTCTGATTCAGTACATCGGGTGGAAAAGCAAATTCCAGCAAGGGAGTTGAAGCGTTTTGAAGTTGTTTTCTATATGTAAGTTGGAGCCACTTTCAAATAAAGTTTCATTTCATTTCCATTCTTAGGGGCGGGGGGTGGGGGTGGGGCTGGTAGTGCAATGGGTTAAGCTTTGGGCTGATAACCGAAAAGTCTGCCCTTCGGACCCACCATTGGGAGAAAGGTGGGGCTGTTTGCTTCCTTAACGATTTACAGCCCTTAGAACCCCGGGGGGCCAGTTCTGTGCTGTCCTGTAGGGCCATTATGATTTGGAATCAGCTCAACGCCAGTAGGATTTGGAGGGTTTCCAATTTGTGTGCCTTAACATTTTTTTCCTTGCCTTGTCGTCCTGACTAGAAATCCCAGTATGATGTTGAATATAAATGTGAAAGCAGGTTTCGTTGTCCCCAGATGTCGAAGAAAGCATTCCGTCCACACACACACACACACACACACACACACACAAAAAGCATTCCATCCTTGGTCTTTCTTTTCTTTCTTTTAATCATTTTATTGGAGGCCCTTACAGCTCTGATCACAATCCATCCATCCATCCATTGTGTCCAGGACATTTGTACATATGTTGCCATCATCCTTTTCAAAACATTTCCTTTCTATTGGAGCCCTTGGTCCCCTTTCTCTTTCACCAGGTGTTCTTATCAGGCTTCAGCCTTCCCATCATTCCTAGTGTGGCTGTGTTTCTCGTAAACGCCTGCCAGCTTTCGTCAATGCTTTTCCTGTGTCTATTGCGATGATCATGTTGTTTTTGTTGTTTATTAACATGGTATATTGCAGTAATTGTTGTATGTGCAAAGATAGTACTATATAGGTATATAGGAGGGGGCTTCAAGAAATTAATGGAAAACTAGAATTTTAAATATACTGGAATTTTTCCATGATCTTTTTGAAGCCCCTTTCTACAGGGCCACTCAGAATCGAATCAGTGGCAGTGAGTTAGTTTTTTTTTTGTTTTCTGCACACACACACACACTTCTACATTCTTTTTTACTCTCCATGTCAGTGGATAGAAATTTATCACAATTTGCTTTGGGACAGGAAATTTCCAAATCAAAGGGCAAATAAATCTATGCATTTTCTGGACATTGACAAATGATTTGCCTGGGAAAGTAGTACTTTGTGTTTCTATCAACCATATGAGATTGCTTGACAGTGTTTTTTTGTTTTTTTTTTAACATTTTATTAGGGCCTCATACAACTGTTATCCCATTCCATACACACATCAATTGTGTAAAGCGCATTTGTACATCGTTTCTCAAAACATTTTCTCTCCATTTAAACCCCCGACATTAGGTCCTCATTTTTCCCCTCCCTCCCCGCTGACAGTGTTTTTATCACTGTGAATTTAGTGCCCAACACTTAACAGAAAAAGAAAAATCCTCATACCTAGTTTTCCTTAAAAGATAAAAAAGATTCAGAGCCCCTGGCAGTGGTCAGCATAAATTCACACACTACACTCGTTGCCCGAAACCAAATACCAGCTGCTCCTTTGTGGGGAAAGTGCTGTCTAGGTGCCGAGGCTCCTGACTGGCCCATTTCACAGACTGATGCCGCCTTCTAGTCCGCTGTGGGTGTGAGTGTTTGGCCTTTGCTCTCAGTGAATGGTGAAGACCCTGAGAGTGTTATGGCAGGGAATAGGGAGAGGGAAGGGAGCTTTGAACTTAGGGTTAGCATCCTTGAGGAAAGTTTCTGAAAGGGCAGTCAGTCAGTGGTCCCTGTGGCTGCTGATCCAGTCACCAAAGAGGTTGGGTTTTGGAGGCAGTGGTGCACTGGGTCAGGAAAGAATGGGGGTTGGGAGCAGTGCACGTACTGACCTTCCCGCCTTCCCTCCTGTGCTGGAGGCAGCGATGCTGGCAGAAGGGAGGAGTAGGAGATGGAACAGCAACCCTGTTTAACGATCTGTGTTGAACATTCCCTTGCAGTGAGAACCGTACTTTATCTTTTTGTTCCCCTGTCTGAACCGGGTCTCGGTTTCAGGAGAGAAGCCTCATCAATGCCAAGTGTGCGGGAAGACCTTCTCTCAGAGTGGGAGCAGGAATGTGCACATGAGAAAGCATCACCTACAGATGGGAGCCGCGGGGAGTCAGGAACAGGAGCAAACCGGTGAGGAGAGTGGACAGAGTGGAGGGCTGTGCCTTCCAGGTCCCAAAAGCCAAATAACTGGTGGGGCTGGGTGTCTGGAAGTTTCCAGATTCTGTTTTAGATAGAGAGACCTAGTTTCATTTGTTTGATGGGTGGGCTAGTGACTACCAAACCTAGCTGTACAGTAGAATTATGTGTAAAAGTTACATACACATATGTGCCGATAGTTCAACTCCCCCTCCTCCACTCCAGTAAAACTAACAACCTGATTGTGAGATTATTTGAGAGTAGGATCCCAGAATCTGTCATTTTAAATGTTCCCCTAGTGAGCATTGAGTTCATGTTAATAGTAGTGGAATAATTTAGAAAAGGGTGATAATAATGGTTATACAACATAATGAATGCAATCAATATCACTGAATTATCACACAGAAATTATTGAATTGGCAAATGTTGTATTTTAACAATTAAAAACAAGTTCTTATAATGAATTTGATGATAACTAATCTAGTAATGATCTGTGAACCAGCATTTGAGTGATGAAGATCTTTGTATGGCCAGGATTGGGCATTTTGTTAGTTACCAATCATGGCTACCTCTTTGCCCTAACTCGAATTTGTTAACTTATTCTTACTCTTTTTATTCTTAATCCTTGTCCATCCCATTTCTTCATCAGCTATTTCATTACAAATATTTCTTTATAAAAAATCACCCATCCCATTTTATGCTAATTCCTCAGTTACTGATCACAAACAAGGATCTTTTTTTTTTTTAATTTATTTTTTTTAATGAGGATCTTTACTCCTAAGGCTCAACCTTTCTCTTCATCTAAGTTACTGTATATACTTGTGTATAAGCCAAGTTTTCAGCACATTTTTAATGCCGTTTTTGTGGTAAAATTAGGTGCCTCGGCTGATACTCAGATCGGCTTATACTCAAGTATATACGGTATTCTTGTTTTCCAAAAGTAAGTGCAATAAGAGATGGCACTCCAGGACCCAGGCTTATGGCCAGTTGTGCAGGGAGAGGCAAGCTGCCTGGTGAAGGGAAGTGAGCATAGCCGGGAGAGAGGTTGACTGCTGTGTGTCTCGTCCTGTTCTCTGCAGCGGAGCCACTGATGGGCAGCAGTTTGCTTGAAGAGGCCTCAGTTCCCAGTAAAAACCTGGTGTCTATGAATTCCCAGCCCAGCCTTGGTGGAGAGCCCTTGAACCTACCAAATACCAGTTCTATTCTGGGAGTTGATGATGGTAAGATGTTCAGTTCTCCTTTATTTGGGGAAAGTGGGCAGAAACAAAGGAGTGGGGTTGTCTCCAAAATGCATATTTGAATTCAGCTCGTTTCTCGTTAGTAGCTGTGGTGTGCTTGAGTCATATTTATATTCCTTGTGTCCGGGGTGGATAAGTAAAAATGGAAACTTAAAAGTTTTTTCTTTTGAAAAGCTCATGTAACAAAAAAGACATTTTTTAAAAAAAAGAAAATTATCTATAATCCTAGCATCCTAGCCCAACTATTTTTTATCTTTCCTATTGCAGTTATGGAAGAACTTAACTTTTAAAACATTTATACTGAACATAACCAGGTTTTACAGAGGAGATATAAAGCAATTTCTCCCTACCTTCAAAAGCCATGCCTTCTGGAGACCAGAAAGGGCTCTCTAGGAAACAGTTGCTCCTCTCTGGTATAGAAATTTCACTCAAGTTACACAGGCCAGGCCCTCTTCTCTGAAAAACCTAACAGGTGAGGTCAGCATGCCTTTGTTCAGTGCCTACTATGTGCCTGGCACCATGGGAGAGACAAGAGTAGGAGACAGGGTCCTTAATCCCAGTTGAGAAGACAAGACTTACTTATGGGAAACGTCATTGAGTAAATAGAAGGTTGTGTATAAGCCAACATGAAATTATATGCTATCGTATAGGAGGGACCGTATGAGCCTGAAATTCCCTCATGAGCCTTCTGTTTGAGGGATATGTGTAAACTATGTACAGAAACTTCTCTTGGTATTCCCACTAAATGGACATTTAAGTCTGAACTCCTGGTTGTAGTTGCCTGTGCCATTTTCAATCAGTTTTAGGTAGAAGTGGCCATGTATGTGCATGTAACTTCCACATAGCGCCTACAAGGGCCCAGAATTTGCTGCCATAGAAGCCTGTGTTCTTTTCTGATTGGCTCATACAGTGGGTTACTTGTATGGAGCTCGGTGCCCAGCTCTGGGAAAGAAAGTCTGAGGGGACAAAGGAGATTTGGAATTTGGTGTAGGAGTAGGAACTTGGAAGCCAGTTTAACTTAAGCTGTTGACTTGTGTAGCTGAGTGCTGTTTGCATCCTTGGTGCCTCCCTGATCCACCTGCCGGGGCAGCTTTCGCCCTGTTTGATGTGTCATCCTAATCCAGGCCCCGTGCTGCAGTGCTAGTCCTCTGCTCTGGGGGGTCATAGAAATGAGCCACTCTTACCTCAAAATGTCTCGCCCCTGGCTGTGTATTTTACTGTGTATATTTTCACCAAACAAGTTAAAACATACATATTTCTTATGTATCCCTACATCTCCCTTATGTAATATAATACCTTCTAGTTCACTGATAATGATTATCAGACAGGAATTCATTTGGAAGGGATGTAGGAGACAGTTTCCAGGGAATCGTTTTGAGGGTTCTTAATGGAGTTATGTATGTCTGTGGATTCACTCCTTGACGCGTTGTTCTTTTGTTTCATAGAGGTGCTTGCTGAAGGATCCCCACAGCCCCTGTCTTCAGTGCCTGATGTGACCCATCACTTGGTGACCATGCCATCAGGGAGGCAGTCATATGAGGTTTCTGTCCTCACTGCAGTAAATCCACAGGAGGTAAACTCTCTCTCCCTTACTTAGTTTCTTTGGAGACAGACAAGTGTGGAAAGTGATTTGGGATCTAGTCTACGGGATATGAGAAGAAAATAAGATTCTTTCACTTGTATTTTCCGGACACTTGGACAAAAATGTCTCACTTTAATCCAAGTCCAACTTTAGTTTGGAGAGAAGGAATCTGAATTGGGAGAGGTGACCAGTCCCAGGTGTTCCTTTATGTACACTCCTTAATGATGGGTGTCTGATCCCACTGTCTTAGGCCTCACTATGAGATGAGAATGCTGTTTTAGTTTACAAAGAAAACCGCATCCAGGGATAGAATAATCGCATGAAAACAGTGGGGAAAATCATTAAAAGTAATTATTGTTTGGTCTGTTAGGGTCAGATGTCTGGAGGGTAGCAAGGAGAACCAACTGAGGGTATGGGAATATATTTATTTGTATATGAATGAGCAACCGGGTACTTCCAACTCATTATTCCTGGCATTTTGACCTAGAAACTAGAGTGAAAACCATCAGACTCCTGGAATCTTGGGGTGTTTTGTTGACTTTATGACACAAGGTGGGCGGGGGCATGGTGTGGGTGACTTTATCATAAGCCCAAAGCCAAGGTAGCTTGGCTCCCCCTTTGGCATTACAATATCTTTTAGTCTTCTCCCACCTCTGTCCCTTTTTATTAGAAACTTTATGCCACAGTAAGCTGCAATAGCATTTAAATGATTCATATCCTATAATGAATATTACCAATTACTCTATAAAATCCCTGGGGCTTATCCAGGGCCCTGGGCATGCAAGTTAATATTCCTGCTGGAGCCCTTCCCCGTGTCAGCTTTGCAACCCATCATCAAAGCCTGGCTTGAATTATGTTGAAAATTCTATGAGTACTGGTTCTTTCCTAGCTCACTGTGTGGTTACTGCTTTGGAACTAATTCTGGAACCATCCTTTTATTTTTCACCCTCTTCATCTGTTTTTAATTCACGGTAATTTTCAAGGATTAGCAAGAGAAAGAACCCCGTGTACCTATCACCCAACTGTAATAGTTGACTTAATACTCCTTGTTAATCCTTTATCTCTTTTTTTTGGTTTGTTACTGATTTGCTTGTGCCTGGATTATATTAAGGCAAATCTCAGGCATGTCATTTTCTATGTAAGTATGTCTGTATATACTGTTAAGCAAACCCACTGCCTTTGAGTAGGTCCCGACTCAGAGTGGTCCTGTAGGACATGGCCCTATATGGTTTCCAGGGTGCTAAATCTCTATAGAATCGGTCAGCCTCATTTCTCCATCGCAGAGTGCTAACGTTTATGTTAACAGTCCAGTGCTTTGCCCGTCGTACCCCTACCGCACCTCATACCACCACCAGTTAAGGGTTTGGGAGTGTGGGGGGTTGGTGGTGGTAGTGGTGTTTTTGTTTTATTAAAAGATCATTTTATTGGGGGCTCTTACAGTTCTTATAACAATCCATGCATCAATTGTGTCCAGCATATTTGTACATATATTGGCATTCTTATTTTCTAGACATTTACTTTCTATTGAGCCCTTGGTATCAGCTCCTCTTTTTTCCCTCTCTCCCCGCCTCAAGGGTTTTTTCATAACTATAGTTAGTTAGCTTTATTATGTTCAACAAAATTAATAATGTATTAATATCATCTTATACTTCCTAGTCTTTTTTCCCTCGCAGATATCTTTTTACAGTTGATATGTTTGGATCAGGATGACTCTAGACTCATATTAATATTTCTCTCAATCTATAATGGTCTCCTCTTTTTTTTTTT